GGGGGCAGCAAAGTATTGTAATAATTCATATATGCCGAGGGGGAGTGGGCAATATATAGAAATGTTTTAGTTCTACTTATATCTATAATAACAAAACACAACAAAGAAAAAAAACTTTTGGAAAACTGTTTCAATAGAAAATTTGGCAAAGATTAAATTCAATTTGAGACTCTAATTTATGATTTTATTATTTCACTATTACTCAACTCTTCTAGGATTGATTAAAAAACATTTAGGAATCCCGATGTAATTCAATCTTTAAAATTGAATTCATCAAATGTATTTAAAATATTCCAAAAAAGTTAAATTCCCTGAATCTAAAATCATTTTATTGTAAGCGAAAAAAAACAGCCAGAGAGAATTCGACAGTAATTGACGAAGCTTATAAAAATTTTTACAGAGAATGCAAATATCTTCTCTATATAATGAAACAAGACATTCGTATATATGTTCCCTTTAGCCGTCCAAACTACTGGACCGAATGGGCTGACATTTTTTGTGGACACTCATGGCTAGCCAGGGGGTGACAAAGGCTAAAAATATAATTTTTATTTTCATAATGTTTTTTTCAAATTTTATTTTTCAGCTAGTATTTCATAAGATGCTAAAAAAACCTTTATTTAAATAAAAGACTCAATTATTTCTAGATCTGTTTCTTTAGTCTTTTCCCTCCGAAAGAAATGCTTTAAAGGGAGTGTTCGCGAAAAATTGAAGGGGGTATAGACTTACGGCGAAAAATTATCGATGGTGATCGCTACTAATCTTACTTCTATCTGTTACGTTTATAAGGAGAAAATTGTTGAAAACGAATCATACCGAAGAACGTAGCATCCATACAAATTCAAAAAGTTGCAACATTCGACTCAGATAATAAAAAAAAATCAATTTGATTCCAAACAAATCATTCAGATATTACAACCTATAATATAATTTTTCGACGCATTCGTATATTGTTGATTTTTATAATCCGATAGTTACTTTTGAAAACGTTTATTCCTATTTCGAGAATTTTTCATATTGAAGACGACATTTTCATATTTTCCAGGAATGTTCGAAAATCCAGCGCCAGCCGTGAAAACAAGTTGTAAGCGAAATATTATTTTTAAAAAAAAATATCATGAAATATCAACAATATACGAATACGTCGAAAAATTATCGATGATTATAGGTTGAACTATCTGAATGATTTGTTTGGAATTAAATTGATTTTTTTTACGATCTGAGTCGTATGTGGCTCAGGATTTTTGTCTTCCATTATTTAATGCGTAACAGAATGTTACAAAAAGGTAAAAAAAGAATGACGGGTGTTCCTTTTAAATTGTATAAAATTTGTAATTTATAAACATTTATAAACAAATATGATTCATTTATTATGGACATATCTGACACCTTTGTTTACTCTATTAATCCAGTAATTAATTAACTAATTAATCACCTAATTAATAAATTAATAATTTAATTAATGAATTACATAATGAGTACATCTATAGAGAAGGAAGGGGAAGGGGGGAGNATTTTGGATTTTGAAATCTCACTACCGCCAATACCAGAGTTTGAAAATAAAAGTTGAAATTTTATATTCTCATTTTGGAATTTCAAATCTCAATACTGCAAAAACCTCTAGTTTGAAAGTATTTACATTTTCTAATTTCGAAAAAAAGGCATTTAATAATCTGAAAAGTGTAAAGAAAATGTACAAAAACTAGCTTTTAAAACCTTCAATACCATTTTCTTTTTAAAAAAACCTAAAATTTTCGCTCAAAAAGAAGGCATTTTATACAAATACAGACTAATGCATGCTTAAGAAATTTTCTGCAATACATGATTAGTATAGTACAATACAAAGAGATTATTTCCTTTGTTTTATTAAAGAGAAAGATTAAATATTTACAATGTAAACTGTACACTGTTTCATTACGTATTTGAGCATTTATTAAAGAGAAAGATTAAACATTTACAGTGTACACAGACACTGTACACTGTTTCCTTACGTACTTGAGTATTTATTGAACAAAAAGATTAAATATTTACACTGTACACTGTTTCCTTATGTACTTGTGCATTTATTAAAGGAAAAGTTTAAATATTTACAGTGTACACTGTACACTATTTCCTTACGTACTTATGCATTTATTGAACAAAAAGATTAAATATTTACAGTGCACACTTGTTAACACAAATTCGAAAATATAAGGAAGACGATTTT